CTGAAATAATAATTCTAAAAACTTCAAGTGATCCTGAACCTCTTAGGTGAGATAAAATTCAGAGCACAGCAGACCTTGTTCATTGTGCTGGTTCCCAGGAAACCGACAGGGTTTGGCTGCTGAATTGAACTGGCTGGTGGGTGCATTTGTCCACTTCCTGGAAGGTGCTCAGATCTGATAAGGGTTTTCTAGTTGTTACCCAAAAGGGAAGAGACAAGTGTTTTGAACCCATGAGGACTTCAGTTTTACTTTGGAACAGGAACATCAATTCCTTTACAGGCATGAATTGCATAATTATATGAAAACACTGTGCCTTTTCTTTTAAATACATGGATATCAAGATAGGAACTTTCCATCACCAGGATTTTAATCTTTCTCAAACTTGCTGCTATGCACACCAGTATAAGCCACTGTACAATAAGAATATCACATTTTATACGGCTCATCCTTATGCTGATAGGACTGTTTAATATCATCAGTCAACCAAACTTATTTTTTTCAATTTGTTTTCAAGTTTCACATCAAGGGAAAGGATAATCTTCCATTCATTGTGTGTGATATTTGGCATGATGGTTCATGTAAAACTTTAGAAGGAAAATACCCTAGAGAGCTTTCCATTTCAGGGACTTCATTAATGATGAAGTACTTTTAAGTGACACACAGTACTTTGAAGGATTACAGCCAATGTATAGTTTCCAATAAATCAGTCCTAGGCTTTGAACCTAGTATATAATGTATGATTAACCTTGGCAGTTCAAAAGTCATTGACATTGGCTTCCATTTTAGATGAATCAAAATGCTGGATAACAATTGTACAAGCTGTCTTCATTTATTTTTTTTACTCTATTTGTGTTTCATCTAATTTGTTCCAGATGTGAATATTTCCAAGAGAAACTGCCCATCAAATCTTTTATTGTATAGGGTTCAAACACAGAGAGATTAGAGATGAACCAGCTTGCCTTCACTTGGCTTTTGGCTTTGAAATGCTGCACTTTGAAATAGAGTGCTGCACCTCATGTCTGCATAAACATGGTTTCCAGAAAATTTTATAAAACAGTTTTAACTGTTTTAAAATGTGCTTATTTTTGACTACACATATAATTAATATTTGGTAAGGTTTCACTAAAAAAACACTGGTCTGTTGAAAATAAGATGACATACATTACTAGAAGTCAGGCATCCTAATTACCCTAGAAAATTCTTATTTAAGGCTACCATGAAGATTACTTTATTTCAATTTGGTTCATAAGGAAGATAAAGTCTACATTAATAACCATACAACAATAAAAAGAGAAAAAAAAAAAAAACAAACCAAAAACCCCACAAACAAACACCAAAAAACCCACTGCAGGATCTCTCCTTTGTGGGCTTATATACAGCAGTTTGAAAATATTTTATTATAACTCAAATTAAAAAAGAACATTAGGTCATTCTGTTCACATTTTGCAATATAAAAATTGAACACAAACTGTTCAAAAAAACATAGAATGACTTAAGATAATCTCCACAGACTTAGTCCTTTACACAGTTATTTTCATTAGATTTATGTTTTAACACTGGGAAAGGATTCTTCATCTAAAAAACACTTCATAAAGGATGAAACATTTTGTTTGTATACCATATATAGCCTGGATTGTTGAAAACTTCCTGTCCTTAATTGCTTATGCAAAAATGATTCATGGTGCAAATTGGTATTCACAAGTTATTATGTGCATTAATTTATGTTTTTCCTTTGTACAGGCATCTAAAGATTAGATTTATAGGTTGAGCTGAAACACATTTTATTTTGTCTTGAAATCAAGATTGCAACATACTTTTTATTCACATTCTGCATGGATTTTAGGTTATTGTCACCATGATGATGGTTTGGGCGTTTTGTGGAGGAGGGTTGTATCTTAGAGCATTGGTTTGGTTAAATACAATATGTGGACAAAAGACAAAGTAAGTTTGAAGGAGTTTTGTGACAAACAGTATTTTTCCCAAGCATTCAAAACAGCACATGAAAATCTGTAGGGCTAAGTTCTTACGTGGGGTCTTTAACCTATTTTAGCTAAAAATAAATTAAAAAAAATTAAAAATTGGAGCAAAAAAAAGTAGCAGTTTTATACTTAGAAATGGTTTTGATATTGTCAAAATAACTTTTCATTAGAAGATGAAAATGTCATTTTCTTCAATGTCTATGTTTGGATTAAAGTCTGAAATTTTAATTTTGTCAAAGAAAAGGAGGAAATTTTCTGTGAGGAATAAAAAAACCCCAAACATTTCAACTGACTATAATATATAATATATGCAGGATATATATAGGTACACATGCAGGAATACAGAGCCAGCAGCTCCACGGCTGTAAAACATCTAAGTGTCTCTGAAGTCACAACTTGCCTAACTAACATCAGCTGTGAATCTCACCTAAGAAAGAATTTTTGCTGATCTCATAATCACCTCTCTGTGGAATGCTGGAGCAGGTTTCTGAGCAACATGATTTTGATAGAAAAGGCATAAATATATAATAGTGTAGGGAACTACAGAGCTAACCTTTGAACACACTCGTGGGAAGAAACAGAGGTATGGCTGTAACAGCACTCAACAATGGAGTCTTGAAGGGAAAGTCAAGCTTGTCTGTAAGAAGGCTACTAAAATTCTTTCCAGGTCTTCAGAAAAATTGCAATGTATTTCTTAAGACTACTTAAGACTAAGACCACTTAAAATAATAATGACTCTTTGAGGTCTCAGGGAAGAACCTTCAATATATTGGTCACTGATCAATGTGGCAGGTTTATTTGAGTGAGCAATTCCAGGGATGTGTTTTCTAGGTGGTACTCATTTCACTTCTAAAGCCTTTCACAGTTACAGATATAAAAGATGCCTCTACAGCACAGTAAGAGTAAATGCAGTATTTTCAGGCAAGCACACAAATTCCAGCTGTGCTGATGACTCTGAACTTCCATGTTAGCATGAAAGCTCCCTGTTGATGTTTATTGGTACCCAAATTTATAAAGCTGTACCTTGATGTATTTTAATATCTAACTGCACATTTCTATATAGCAGCATTTCAGAATTATACTGAACAATGCTATTAAGCAGTACTACACAAGAAATGTAGTGAACTATATTTCAGAACCTAACTTGATTCATTTTCATTTTCTAGTAACGTTGGAGAATACACCATTTTTCCAAGTGCAACTCACACTTCTATATTTTACTTTCTTTGGTATGCTCTGGGCTTTTTACAGTTGTTTTTAAAACTTCCATTGAGGTATATCCTTCAGTAAGGATTGCAGAATTTAAGATGATGAGGAGTCCCATCTGACAGGGAGCAGGTACTCTTGTTTTCCAGTGCTTGCTCCAGGCCATTTCAAATGATGAAATCTTACAATTTGTCTTAAGAGAACTCTCACTATGATATCTATGTTTAAGATATGTGGGGCAGGAAGAAGTTTAGGGAGGGAAAATCTGTGCTTATGAGAATGTAACTTCAGGTGATGGAGTTCAGCTGAATGTATATAAAATTTGGAGAGCTCCCCCACTAACCTACCAGGAAATATATACATATCAATCCCTGATTTCTTATGCTGATCTTTGTAAAATACAATACTTGCTTCTACTTACAGCTTGGTTCCAGAGAAGAAATTAATTGTGATCTAAAGAAGTCCTTGCTTACAACATTCAGTGGTTCACTTTTTGCACTTCTTTGTGAACTCTGAAATTCAGAGAAATGCCACTGACTTCACTGGGTTTACAGAAGATTTGTGTGCTTCCTCAAAGATCAGAATCAGGCCTCAAGGTTTTTTTGTCCTACAGACCTATATTCTTCATCTTTCCTGAGTCAGAACCAGCTGTACTTTGTTGCAAAGCACAAAAGTAGCAGTGATTCTCCTTCAGCATATAATTTGGTTATCTGAGTTAAAAGTGGAGATACTTCAGGCAAGAAGCTATCAATGCCTCTGTGAAATATTTAGATATTGGAATATTTGAAAAACTTCTGCTACACATTGCTTAGAATGGTTTACGATATAATTACAGGAATTACAGATCTCAATGTTACACCCATTTTTTTGTTCTGCTTTTTTTGAGGGAAGGCAAACTGAACACCAAACTGGTCTGGTTGAGGACTTCCGAATCCTCTTTGGTTAATTTTGCTCTCTCAAATTTGAAACATCACTCCCTCTCCTTGCAAGGTGCTCAAGGCAGATGGCCATCCTTCCTGTCTGAATGGTGACGGGCTTTCTCCGGGCTGGTGAGAATGTTGCTCCACAGGACCATCCAGTCAAGGAGGACACACGAAGGAACCTTCCACCGTTCTCTTCTAAGACAAAGCTTAGCAAGTAAGTACAACAGAATGCAAGTTGGGTCAATTTAGGAATTCGGCAGAGAGGCTTCTACTGTACCTAGCAGATCGGAACTTGAGCTCATGGTAGCACTGCACAAAGCTGTGATAAATGAAAGTGATTGGCAGGGCTAATAAAACGATGCCACTAACCACACAAATTCCTCCAAGAATCCTTCCTGGGACAGTGATGGGACACATGTCACCGTAACCAACCGTGGTCATCGAGATGATCACCCACCAACAAGCAGCAGGAATGCTGGCATAATCCTTATTTTTTGTTCCCAAGTCCAGCCCATTTTCAAGAAGCTGTGAAAGTGCACTGAAAATTGCCATAGCAACACAGATAAAGACAAGTAGCATCACCATCTCTCTGTAACAACGCTTCAGAGTCAGACCAAGTGTTTGAAGGCCAATGAAATGACGGGCCAGTTTAATCACCCAAAAGATTCTCATCATTCTTAAGACCCTCAAGGTGACTCCAGCCCTCTGAAGCTGTGAATTTTCCCCTGTGAAAACTGTCATTAGAACAGAGATGTAGTAAGGAGTAATTGCCAGCAAATCAATGATGTTGAGAGGTCTTCTGACAAACTCACACTTGTTTTTGGAGACGATGAACCTCACAATGCATTCAGCAGTGAACCAGCCTATGCAGATAGCTTCAATTATCCTGCCAAAAGAAACAAAGGACAGCATTTATGCTCTGTGCAAAGTCTTCAGGGGATGTTTTGTTTGTTCACAGATATTACCAAAGTGACACTTAGACTTTCACAGACAACAAACAGAAAGCCATGCCATCCTTATTCTGCACCTGGCACTGGATTTCAGCAATTAACCTGAGGATCTAGAGAGAGTTTGAACACATAATTGCTAAGAACTCACTCACTGGTCATTTTCTTTGAGTTATGGATTGCTACTAGTCATAGTACTGGGCAAATATGCCCACAAAAACTGGAATCCTACAGGAAATAAGACATCAATGCCAATGTGTAACCATATCTACAACAGCTGGGTTTGGAGTTTTTTGCTGCTGTTGTTGATTGAGGTTTGGGGGATTTTTTTTTTAATTTTTTTAAGTCTGTGAGGCCTGATCCACTTGGGAATGCCAAGAGTTGTAGATCAGTGAACTGTCTAGTTATGAACAGTAATGTATAGAACCAGACTGCTAAACTAAAATGGAAGTGAAGATCAAACAGGCAGATGTAAGTATTTGCATTGGATGATTCATGCATATTAATTCTTTAGGAACTAACCTAAACCAGTCTATCTGATCTGCATCCCAAACAGGGGCTTACCTGCAGTCAGACCTATACAGGTATTGCCACTAAATACAGATGGTATTTTATTTTCAGTATTGCATCCATAAAGTACTAAGCTTGTATCCTTCCGTTTACCACTATGCTCTGCATTACTGAATTTTCTCTTTTGCTGTAAATATAAGTCCACCTGAACTACATTGCAGAAAAATGCAAGGTAAACAGATGTTAAGGTAATAGGCAAGATCCTCTTCTTGCCAAATGCAGAAGAAATTCCGGGAGAGGATTTCAGTATATTCTTAAATATTTTCAAGTCCCACTGCATTGAATGAGATTTGATAATATCTCAACTTGAAACCAGTGGAAGGCAGAAACAGGAGATAAAAATGTTGTTTAAATATTACTTAGTAACTGTTGTGCATGTGGTCACAAATCTCCCTAAGACTTCAGACTGTGCTCACTTTTTTAATACATGAGGGCATGGAAGCTAACCTTCCCTTCATTTCTCCATTTATCTTTTTAACCAACAGTTTAAGCAAAGAAAAAGCTCATCACTGATGCCTGCTGTTATCAACAGCTCTGAAACCAAACTGGTGTGAGATCAGAGACTCAAAAATACTGCCAGGAAATACAACCAGAGTTTTTCGCTACTGCAAGGACTCTAACAAGGTAGTGTCTGTTGAAACATTTTGATTTGCAAGTGAAAATCCAACTGTCATTTCAAATCTAAAATTTTTCTTCTCTAACACATCTGCATAATTTCTTACCAGTTCTGAAATCTGTTGTTAATAATAAGATAGTGGCCTGTTAAGATAAGAAAGACAGTATTCTCTAACTGATGTAATTATAGACTCTTTAAACTAACTTTTTAATAGACATCTTACACACTAAAATTTTGTTTATTTTTTTCATTAATTTTAAAAATTAATTCTCTTTAATTTTTAGCTAAAATTGGAAGAAACAGTAACAGTCACTTGGTGTAAAGTCATAAGGTACACTGTTATTTTAGCCACAGTAAATTTAAGTGAACATAAATTAATTACTTAAATATTTAGTCAGATAAAATTGGACCATATTTTTCTTTTTTTTTACAAATAACAATAGAAGTTCTGAAAGCAAGTGGTCTTTCTTCATAAAGGGCTTTGACAACACTAGTTCATGTTAGCACCTTTTGATGGAAAGATTTTTGAAATTCAAAACCAGTTTGCTCTTAAGAATTAGGTGTTCTCTTAAAAATTAGGCTTTTTGAAAGTTCCTTTATGTTGGGGAAAAAAACCAAGGAAAAAGGCTAAATGGGTAAGTTTTCTTAAATCCTTTTGTAAATCCTTTTTTAATTCCTAAGTTTTCCCCAGTATAATCAAACAGCAAAATCATGGTAATGGACAAACTGATGATGTCCAAATGTAATTATATGTTGTCTAGTTGAGATCTCATGTAAAAGAGAATAGAAAGTTGCAGTCAGGAATGTTCAACAATTCCAACAGACTATTTCTTTGCATTTTATGAGATTTCTCTGGTAGTGTTGTCTGTCTCCTATGACACGAAGCATTTAAATGAAAAAGAAATTTGTTATTATACAATTTAAAGCTTTTTCACTTGCTATTTCCTCCTGATGCCCTGATAATGTCAGAAACATGACTCTTCCATTTTGCCACCCCTTAGACAGGTTATCTCTGGGTTGAGATTTAAGGAAGTTAGGTCCTGATTGTTGTGATACAGTAGAAATTTTCTTCATGAATCAATATCGATTCAGTGGTCATGTAACTTTGGGGAATAGTTGTACAAGTAAAAGTGCATGAAATATCATCAATCCATTGCTTTACTCTGGCAGTTCCTGGGACAAGAAATACTGTAAATCAGATATACTTCAGTAGGAAGGACTGAAGAAGTATTTTCTTGTAGAACAGATTTGAGGTGAGCTAAGGAACATCATTGGTGCAAAAATGACAAAGTGAGATCAAGGCAGTGGGGGATACATTAATGCCATTCCATTTTAGCTTGCACTTCCACTTCTCCATTTTGCATCCATCCTTCTTTCCCCTGGCTGGGAAGAAGATAATGAAGGGTGTCCCTTATTTTTTTCTTTCTTCTACTTACTTTTCAGCCATAAGTGAAACATTTTTCATTTTTCCTCTCTTGTCACTCCTTTTTTGCCTGTGTAGATGGATTTTGGCAGTACTGGTGAATCATACAAAAATGAGTGCTTTGGTGAGAAAAACTAGAAACCTCTGGCATGTTGGGAAATCTGGAGTGCTACATTCTACATTTCCACTTTCAGATCAAGTTTCCCTCTCTTTGCAGTGACTTATCTCTATAGTTAACCTTATCAGTGGATAAATAACATCTAATAAGGAAAGCAATTTTAACAGTTCGTCCTTAAGAGAACTTAACAGAGAATGAAGTTAAAGCCACATAAAAGGCATATACTCAGAAGACCAAAGTACCTGTATTTTTCATAATCAGTTCTTAAAATATTTTCTGCATATTCACAGGACAGACTGCTTTTATTGCCTATGTCTGGAATAATGCTGTATTAAAATCTATAACTATATAATTAAATAGTGCCCTAACTATATAATGAAATAGTACCTTTATTTGGTAAAAATGTAATACCTACTTTATAAACTTCCATCTGGGTTTTTTGTTGGTTGGGTTTTTTCAGTTTTAAAATAGCTGGTATCCAAAAAGGAGAGGGGGAATCAAAAACAAAGCCATGAAGTATTTTCTTGAAGATTCCTCACAAATTTTATGAATAATCACAGAAAATACTAATTTTTATTCAGTTACAGGCTATTCCTGCTCCAAATTAATGTTCATTGTCCCAGACCAAAGCACATGAAAGAGTTTTTCCTCACAAAATTTTAAGCTGCTTGGTGCTTAGCAGTCTTTCAAGATTGCTCTAATGAATCTTTTGTCCATAAACAGAAAATCAAGCCTTTGTTAGCCTCATTCCTACTGTAATCCCACCACTGTTCGGTTTTCTGTTCCATATGATAACTTTCACTCAGAATAAGCTACTTTATGTACAATAAGTTAAACCATTTCAGAAATCATCTTTTTCAATCACTAACAAGTTTAGTTTGTTATTACTAAAAAAGAAAACTATGTGGTAACTGTCTTAGAATTTCAACTTAGCAATATTCTTTGCCTCAGCTTGCCAATTCATATATTTTCAATATCCCCTGGTGAGTTAGCTGAAATCGAGCCAAAATATTCCTTAGTGGCATTATTATCTATTAAGCTTGTAAATAAAACATACACAGCAACAGGACACACGAGGAAAACAGATGATATGATTAAAGACAGTATATGACAGGATTAAAGACTGTCAGCACTGATTTGTTGAATTGTTGCTAAAGCCTATTTCCATGTAAAGCACATTAAACCGGAAAAATGCCCAAGCAGTAGCTAGAATGATCAAATTCCTGCTCAGGAAGACTCCTAAGTGATTACAGCAAATGTTCGGAGTTTTTTAATCCATTTGAAATCAAGGGCTTCCTTCTCACTACAAACTGTGGAGTAAAGGCTACAGAACAGCCGGTTTCCCTGAATTAAAAACCCTGCGGGCTTTTTTGTCCCCATTCTGCCCCTGCTTTGGCAGAAATTATATGTTGTCATGCATTAAACTCTTTGTGTGGGAGGCTGTAATGACCCATACTCCCCAGGGAAGGGGCAAATCCCTTTCACAGCTCGAAGAGGAGACCTGGATACAAACATCTTGAGCCCTGAGATCCTCAGCATCTTTACCCTCTATGCTGAACATGACTGGCACCTGGCCCTGGTGAGTTTAAGGCTTGGCTGTGCCCAGGCAGTGATGTACATCTGTTCTTTGTTTCACCTCTATTTTTCAAAGAACTGGTAAATTCAATAGAAGAATCCATGCCTGTGTTTTTAACCTATGTCTTTGGTTCCATTCTTTACCCTCAGCCCACTGTTTTAACATAAAATCTGCAAAAATGTGATATTCAAGTTAGATCTTGTCCAGGAAAGGAGTTCTTACTGTTTTTTGAAGAGGTGTTAAGCATGAACATTCAGGTGTTCTGACATTCCACTACTATAAAGAAATACTATTTTTTGTATGTCTAAAATTCACATGCAGTTTTTTAGGCTGATATTTTGCAAAGATTAAAAAAAGTCCACATGCTCTTGATGAGAGATGCTGTTTGGAGAAACTACTGTGATTATTTGCTTTTGTTTAAGAACACATAAATCATGTGGGCTTGATAAGTCAGTGATTATTTCAGTACAAACCTAATCATGATTATCAAGTGGAAAGGGGACAACCATCTCTTCTTAGTGCTAACAAGCTGCTTGTATTCAGCATTAGAAAAATAGTTTTAAGGCAGGTAGCTAGAACTGTGCTGCCAGTAAGTCAAGCAGCTTCAAATGATTTCCTATTACAGCTTGAGAAGCTCTCCCTAGAAGATGACGCTCCCAATCAGTGCATGGACAGGTCCCTGAGCAGAGACTCACAGTATGCATCTGTTGGCACAGTTCAGAGGACAGCAAAGATGACTTAAAATTGCCAAAAGCAACAGAAGGCATTCCTGCTGTCTGCTCCTAAACTCTGCAAATCTAATGCAAATCTTTAGCTCCGATAAGTGGAACTTGCCAAGGCAGGGAATGGAGCAAAAATCTTAGAATGAAATAAATTTAATAGCTCATCCCTCATCCTGAGAACAGGCCTGGGAAGGGCAATCCCTCTGCAATCAGGGAATTGTATTTCAGTGTCTGTAATATCTGTCAAATTCCGAGGTGAGATTTCCCATCCCTCTCTCCTTGAATAAAGGTTACTCCTGGAATTCTCTGTTGCCTTCTAAAGCATGTTATCCCAAAGGATCAGAAATAGCCATGGGCTGTTCATCCTGTGAGAGCATGGTCACCATGAAAAGGCATAACATCATAGTGGTTTGTGAAAAAAAGTTTGGTGGATTTAATTCTTCTTCTGCTGAAAGAGTGTTCATACATGGAAAACAAATACATCTGGTGTTAGCTGGCAGTCCCAGTAGCCCTCACTGAAACCTCATTTTTTGTAGATGCCAGAATTCATGATCCCCTCAGTTGCTGAGATGATGTCGAGGTAAGCTGAAGGCACACTGCTGGTCAGCTGCTTTCAGTACAGCTGTCCAAAGCAGTTCTGGGAATGGTTACCACGGGAGCCAGCCACAGAAATTGTCCATGTGGCACCTTTCTGACATAACACACTGAGGCAAGGGCAGGAGGGCTTATTGTGAGAGATTGAGAATATCAGAGTTGCTGGGTTTCCTCACCTCTGTGGCTTATGCTGAGCTGAATAACCGACTACATCCAAATCTACAGATCAGGCATTTCTAGATTAACCCATTCAATTTGCACTCCTAAAACTTCTCAAAATACATTTTTTGAATAACGTGCAATTTTTGTACTAGTAATTACAGTGCCATGCAAGTCAAAACTCACTTGTGTACGGCAGTAAGGTAACAATTTCTCTTGGGAAAAAAAAAATTTTTGTATTACTATGTTAGATAGAATTTCTTTATTTTGATGAGGAACACTGCTTAATAAACAAATGACAGAATTTGGTTTCAAATTTTTAAATGTGTCAGAAACAAGTGGATAGATTTTTTTAAAACCTTCTCACCTAAAAGGGATTGTATTGCCAGAGTATGCAATCCCAGAAACTTCCATAGGATTTCCGTGGTCAGGTTTTCAAATAAAACCATTTAGCTACTTAAATTTTGCAAACCCAACTATTTTCAAATGAAATAACTACAAACTAATCATAAACACATAAGGGCAAACACAGCCAGATGACAACTGGGCATGTTAGGTCCAATGCTATGGCACATGTCAGTAGTGACAACTAAACTGGACAGCTCACTTAAAAGCAGCTGTAGCTAATACACTCATTTCCAGCTATAACAGACTTTTTAGCAATGAAGCAGCATGTGCAAAAGAGAGGAGTGGCTCCACCTTGGTGGTCACTTGTGGACAGAGGGGCACACATTTGTGTCTGTTTCCCATGTGTTTGTCATCAGACTGGGATAGGTTCCTGTGCAGTCAGTGCATGGTTTAGATGACTCAGTCTGTACTGGTGTTTATATGCGACAGACTTTTCTGACATTGGTAGAAACTTTTCAGCTGGTAGAAACTTTTCTATTTTTTTGTTGCAATAACATGGAGTACTACAGCTAGTACAGAAGAAATTCACCCCATCATTGGAAGTCGTCCTGGTTCTAAAAGGAGCCTTCACTGCCCTGGGAACTGTTTGTCTATGCTGCACCTACAAGTACTTAGGACCTTATTCTTCTAACACCTGGTGTACAAGATGCAATTGTTCAGAAGAGTAAAATCAAGATCTTGAAGACAAAGGAACCATGAAAGAAAAATTACACATTCTATGCCATGTTCCTCTCCAAGCTGAACTCTTTCTTGCAAGAGAAAACTTGTGGTTGATTCCCGCACCATGAAGACATGAACAAAGACATGACCTATGTGGTTAATGCTGTTGTAGTGTTGCATCTATTTTCCCATGCCTCTTGGGAGTATCTCAGCAATTTGCTGCTGTACAGAGGTCACCCACAGCAGCTCCTCTTTGAAATAACCTTGCTAAGCTTTTAAATGGAAGAGCCTTTAGGATCCCCTTTTGACATATCTGAATCTAAGCAGGAATAAACAGCTTCTCACACTGCATCTGCTTTCTTTTTGTTCATACAATTAATTCTTTGGCTCAACTACAATGAGAAATACAGGTGCAGTTTTCCATTAAGCTAATGGAAACTATGAAAATACTTTCCAAGGAATTAATCTGGCTACTAAGATATAATATATCACATTCCAATTAACTCTATGGTAAAAGATGATGATTTCATAATGACAAGGCTGCAATTTCACGGTAGTGCCCTTTTAGAAGAGCAGAAGCTGAAAACTTTTTGTTGAATATCCTGTCTGTTTTTAAAAAAGGGAGAAGCTAGCAAATTCTTTCTTTATATGTCAGTCTTATTTATGGGAGAAATTCTACCAGACTGGTCTCAATTTTGTTCTCTAGGGAACAGGAAAGAAGGAGAGAGAGGGAACAGAAGAGTGCAAGAGTTGCATCAATGTAACTCTAATCTGAGGTCACAAGAAGATGGAAAAGGGTTTGCTCTTACTAGTAAAGCTCAGGATTGAGCCTTATACCCCATGCCCTGTTCTCTGCAACTGTTTTGCAGTGTTTATTATGCTTAAAGGAAATGTAAACATGTTATATTTTGAATTATGCCTTTGCAAAAGCTTGATGTACAGTTTGATCATCTCCTGTGTTCCCCACATAGAGAATCTGAGATGTAAAGGGAGGAGCGGGAGTAAGGCTGTTCCCACATCCAGGATTTTACCGGAGCACAGTCGTAACAGGCGCTGCATCTGCTCTAGCAGAAGGACCTGTACGAATACATGCAGAGTACTCACAGCATTTGTCTTTTCCCAAAGGAAAAGACAAGGGAATTGAATTCTTTTGGGGGATTATTTTCCTTTTTTATTTTTTTTTCTCTTCACAATCGTAAGGCATAAATTGATTTCCGGAGTGTCTGAAGTTCTCTGTGGTCCCGTGTCTCCTTAGAGGGGACAGTAAGAGCTCCAAGAACCTTCACGGAGGGAGGCACCCTCCCTGCGAACAGGAGCCGTACCCCGATGTCCCCGCTCCTCCAGCCTGCCCAGACCCGAGCCTGGCCCCGGCCCCCGCCCGTCCCCTGCGCTCGGGGCCGCGGTGCCCGGCAGAGCCCGGGGGAGCCGGGGCTGCGGAGCAGCGCCACTGCCCCGACAGACACCCCGCCAGCCCCCCGGGCCCCAGCTCAGGGCCGGGCTGTCCAGGCGCGCAGACCGTCTCCGCCGGTGGAGGCTACAGCCACGGACCGTCAAGACAAGGGGCAGGAAGGACACACTGGACGGGACACACGGGGACCGGACAGCGGGAAAATAAAGGATCCTCCTACCCTGAGGGCTCCCTCACTGACTCTGCTGTGTACCTGCTCTGCTCCTCCACGCTGCGATTCTCCGGCGCCCGCCACTCGGGCAGGGTGCTGGCGCACAGCACCACCATGGACACAATGACGAAGAGGATGGAGACGGTGGCCAGGACCTGGGCGGCCACGGAAGACGTGGGCTCCTCAAAAGTCCTCCTCATCCTCTCGAGCCACTTCCTGCCCTCGGCTCGGGGCGGCCGCCGGCCCTTGCCCTCGGGGCCGCCATTCGGCTCCTCCGCCGCGTAGTAGGTGAACGTCTCGGACATGCGGTCGTCGAGGCGGCGCTGGCAGCAGTAGTCGAGGTGGGAGCCCTCCAGCCCCCAGTAGATCATCTCGTTGTAGAAGGAGAGCTCGCACATGTGCGGCACGAAGCGCAGGTGGCCGTGCCGGACGTACAGCATGATGAAGCCGAAGGCCTCCGAGTGCCTGTCGAAGAAGTACTCGTTCCGCTCCCGGTCGTAGTCGTCGCACACCTCCAGAACGTCCTGCTCCGAGAGGCAGCCGTGCAGGCGGCTCACCCGGCGCAGCGGGAAATCCTTCAGCACCTCCCGGGAGAAGGAGTACCGGGTGCCCCCGACGTTCAATACCACCGAGGGACCGCGGCCAAAGTTCATGGCTTGGGCGGCACGGAGGAGGGGAACGGCGGGCAGGGCAGGGCAGGGCGGCGAGGCGGGGGGCAGCGCGGGCGGCAGCGGCTGCCCCGGCTCCGGCTCTGCGCGCACCGCTGGCGGCTCCCGCTCGGCGACGGGGCGGGCAGCGGGCGGGGAGGGAGGCAGGGGCGGAGAGACGCGGGCGCCCCGGCGGCCGCGCAGGAGCGCAGGGGGTGATGCCGCTCGCAGGTGCGGGCGCGGCTCAGCGCCGGCGGGCGGGCGCCTCCGCGGGGCCCCGCCGGGGCGGGAGCGGGGCCACGGCCGCGGGCATGGCTGTGCCGGCGGAGCTCCGCGCCCGGCGCCGCTCCGCTGCGCTCCGCCGGTGCCGGCGGGCGGGCGGGCGGGCGAGCGAGGGGCGGTGCGGCGACGGAGGGGTGGGGACACGCCTCCTTCCCGCCCGCGCACACGGAGCGGAGCGGGACTCCCGCTGCCCGCCGCCCTCCGGGCACCCCTCCCGGCACAGGTCTGGGCAGCGGCGGGGCCCGCCGGCCCCGCTGTCCGCCCCGCCAAGCGGCACTGGCTCCAAGTTGTCCACTAAACGCAAGTAACACTTTGTGGGCGTTTTCCCCCGCTCAAGGAAAGCTCGAAGTGAAGTGTGTGAGCACGATGCAGCTCGCTCCTTGTTCGCGGCAGCCGACGGCCAGCGCCTGTCTCTCTCAGCTCGTTTGTTTGCCCGCCGGGGCGCCGGGCGGTCCCGGTGCCCGGTAAGGGCAGGGCGGCGGCGGGCAGCGCTGGCCGCAGCGCCGGGCTCCCCTCCTTGTCACAGCCCATCCGCCCCGGCACATCTATACAGGGACACTTCTCTTTTTCCTCCTCAGATAGTTCATGGACCCCAGGGAGAGCCAAGTGCAATAGGCAATCTTCTTCCCTGCTTCTGCCCATGCTGGTCTCAGGTCTCTGCTCCCGCAGCTTCCTGTGTTCCTGTGTCCTGCACCTCTTCTCAAGATTAAAGCAATTATTAGCTGCTCCGACCCTGTCTGCACTCTAAAGCTTCGATTTCATTTGGCTGCATCAAGTACAGGGAGTTAATTTCCGCTACTGACGGGTTTTGAAATTCTTTTTTTTTTTTTATTTCAATATGACAGTTCTCCAAAGTGAGGTATTTTCTAGGCTCATTAACATCTGGAATATCTTGGGCTAAAAGCAGGCGAGACACAGCTCTCACTTTCAATGAGATGCTTCCAAGTTATCAGGAGAAAAAGTAGGTATGTCTTTTCCAAACCAATGCCAAAGATTAGTCACTCAGGTTTTTGTCTTTAAAAGGCCATCCAGGTTAAACCAATGTTTTCCTATCCCCGTTCCTAGTCGCTCTAGACGTATGCACTTCATGGGTTGTTCTTGCTGCCAAGTTACTTTATCAGCTGAGATTTCTAAGGCACATTTAGGCGTATCAAAATAAATGAATAGTCGTCTAATTGTGTAGTAAAAATTGAGGGTTTTTTTTAAAAATGAAAATGGTATTTAAGCGCTACTATTTTTAAGCCTATTTGTCATCTTCTAAAACATACTTCTGGAGAGACTGTAATGAATGTCCCCGTTCGCAGCGGGAGAATCCCGCGGTCTCTGGCTGTCCTGCAGTGCCACCACGAGAGGGCGCGGTTAGTCGCTGTTCCCCGTTTGTTTCCCGGTTTTCCCGAGAAACCCACCCCAACTCCGAAATGCTGTCAAGTACGCGCACCAGCGTGTTCTGGCACCGTACGGTCTTTTATGATGTCTGCTTAGTCACGCTGATGTCTGTTTTCATATGGCTGGAAAGGTTTTTCCTTCCAGCAGCTGCGTGCATAGAACCATCAAATCATTTCCCTTGGAAAAGATCTTTAAGACATCGAGTCCAACCACGCTGCCGAGTCCACCACTAAACCATGTCCCTAAGCACCACATCTACACGCACTTTAAATGCCTCCAGGGATGTGACTCAGCCACTTCCCTGGTACAGTTATAGTGTATTTTGCTATTTGTTAATTTTATTAACAGCAAACACTAAACTTCTTCTCCCTTCTTTGATGTATACCCTCTGTATTTCATTCTTTCAGGAGCAATCACTAGAAAATCTGCTTAAAAAATTAAATAGCAAAACCTGACTAGAAGTCTGACAGTGCTAATGAGTTACCCAGGTGCTTTTGACTTTGCAATTTGTCAGCTTCCTGCTCCATATGTTCTAACCATCCCTCACAGGGAGCTTGCAGAGGAAGAGAGCAGAGTACAAATAACACAGCTTGAAGACACATATTTACTAACTCTATTGAAATATTGTCAGTGTATGCTCTAGAAATTATTTCAAGAGGGACAAAGCTTTCTGTGCTGTGTTAAGAAGCTGTCTGGCAGAACAGGTAAAATTCTGGCCTGACGAGATTTTATCTTTAAATTGCATTGCTTGATGAGGCATTGTGAGTTGATTAATGCCTATTCCTATTTCTGGTTTTCAGTTTATTTTAAATATAGAATACCATTATTTCCTCCTTCAGAATTATGCCGTCAAATATTCAATATAAGCAAAGCCAACCTGGATATAACCCAGTAATATTTTCTTTTCCTCTGTAGTTTGACATGTTCACTAGTTATTTTAGTTATAACTGCTGTCTTCCAATTGAGGAGATTTGTTCTAGTGGGCTGGTGCCAACAACTGTAAAGTACATGTTCTCAGAGCAGGAGCAGCAATTTATCAGGAACAAAACCTCAGATTTTAGGCAGAATTTGCAAGTTTTGAGTTAAAAAAAACATTGAGTTCCTATTTCTTGACTTTGAGATTGCTCAGCCCTTTGGAGTTGTGAAATAGCAGATTTGTTGTTGTACTAGAACTGCCTAATTTCTGAGGAGACTTCACTGAGTGTAAACTAATTTTTTTTTGTGAGGTTTAATTTTGCAACTTAATGTCTCAAGAAACTTGAAGAAATAGGATGGAGACCCAAAATACTGGAGACTTTGTGTGACCATAAGCAAAACATTTAGTAATATATTAAGAGAAAGATATTTTTAAAGGCAATTCTGGTAACAAAAAATTGTGTTTGAAAGTTCCATCTGATTTTAAAAATGGTGCATAATT